CAGACAGCAAGGAACCACAATAATCTCAGCCCTACGGTTAACGTGCAGCTCTCCATCTCCTTCAGCCTCTCCCACTGGTCCACGTAAAACTCGGGCTCCTCGCTGGCCTCCAGGTTGTCGATGAAGTGAGCGAGGTTGCTTTTTCTCTCCGCCAGCATGGCCGCGATCCTGGCCATGATGTCGCGCCTCTTCTCCTCCACCTCCTCCTCCCGGCAGCAGTCCACATGGGTTCCCACGGGAAGCACCACCGAGTTTGGGACTCGCATGGACAGGTTGTTGATCCAGAAACCGACGAGCTCCTTGAAAGCCTTGTTGTTAGTTTGGTACCTGGGCGGGGGGAGAGAAAGAAAATCCCAAATTCACATCTAACCCTCCGGCTCTCCAGCCAACTTCCACCAGCACAGGCCTGACCATGCACCCTGTGCTGCCCCAGGGGCTTACTGGAGGAGAGCTCAGATCTCCTAAGCTGTCATGGGCCGTATCCAAGCTCATCCTTAAGTTTCCCATCCTTAAGTTAAGCCAGTTAAAGCTATGGGATGTAGCAGAGTCCATCCCTGCTGTGGATGGGAGCATCCCTCTGTATGACAAAGCCCAAGCCTGATGCTCCCTCCACGTTCGGGAAGCAAGACACAGGAGGGTCCGCAGAGGTATTTCCAAGGCAGAAAGCAAAGCCGTTTAGATGGGGATCAATTGTCACATAAGGAGTTAATGCTCATCTAACCCCTCAAAACAGAGGACTTTGGTAAGGTGATGACAGATCTAGTGGCTTAATTAAAAGAGTGATCTGCAAAAAGGGGGAGAGAGCGAGCTAGCTACTCCAGCGGTGAGAAGACCAGGCATCGAGGTCCGATGGAAATGGTGTGAACCCGCGCAGGGGAAAGCTTCCCCAGCCCCTTTTTTCTTCTCCCACTCCGTTTTGAATCCAAACCAGCTCGGCACTTACATGTGGAGATTGATGACAAGGACGACAAGCGCCTGCGGGGTGATGAACACGTGGTGAGTCATGTAGTACTCCAGCTGGCCGGCAAAGTCCCAGAAGAGAAACGTGAAGTCCTCGATCTGGAACTCGCTGATCTCTATCCCAACCGTTCGCTCTTCCTTGGGCACCAGTTTGGTTTGCCCTTGCTTCAGGCTTTTGCAGATGGTGGACTTCCCCGCCAGCGAGGCCCCCAGGAACATGGTCTTGACCCTCTTGTCCTCCTGCCCCGAACCGTGTTGAAGCTGGTTGAAGTAATTCCGGATCTGCTGGATGCCACCAGCACACACTTCACTGGGTGGCTCCCGGAGGGGGTTCCCATTGGCCTTGAACATTTTCAGGGATTGCCCCTGGAAGAGCTCCTTGGGGAGCTGGCGAAGGGCATTATTCTGCACGTGGAGCTCTTGTAAGCGTGCCAGCTGCAGGACAGGCTGGGGGAAGGTCCGGAACAGGTTGTTGGAGATGTTGAGGTACTGGAGGCTGCCTCGACAAGCTGCCAGGTCCTTGGGGAGGGCACCGAGACGGTTGTTGTTCAGCCGCAAGTGTTTAAGCCTGAGGAGATGGGAGAAAATCCCCTCCGGGATGACCCGGATTTGGTTCTGATTCAGCTCAAGCTTCTCTAAACAGACCAGGCTCTGGATTTCACTGGGAAAGTCCACAATCTCGTTCTTGGACAGTATCAGCTTCTTCAGGTTGCAAAGCTTAGAAATGCCAGTGATGCTCCTGAGCTTGTTCCTGTCCAGGTCAAGGCTCTCCAGCGCGGGGCTGCTCAGGACTGCTGGAGGCAGCACACGCAGCCTCTGGGTAGAGAGACTCACTTCACGCAAACCGTCCTCCTGCTCCTGACCTGGACCCATGGGACAGGGAAGGTGGTTAAGAGAGACTTTCACCCTTTGGGTTGCAGACCGTTTTTTTCCCTTGAGCTCTGCACGACTTTGGGATCATTTCGGCCAACAAGAAAAAGCAGAGGCAAAACACAGGAGCTGGTTGAACAGCGTGACCACAACAGCCTGAGCAGCGTCTGTGTCCTCTCAAGAGAGGAACCAAAGCCGAGGCACAAGGATCTTGGCCGGGCCTGAAGACACAGGAAGAAACAGCACCCACCAGATGGTTGACCTGTAGCCCAAGCATCACGTTAGCAGCTTTGCTCTCGTTAAAGCACTACGAGGGCTCCGGCCGCTGATGCATCCACCCCGAAACCGGCAGGTTTCTAATCCCAGCAGCAGGCTGGAAGGGGAGAGCCGACATCAGGAGGAAAGCTGCTCTCCAAAAAACTCGCCCAGCCTGCCCTCAGCTCTTGACCGCAGCGAGGGAGACGCGCTGAGGCCAGGGCTAGGGAGTTCAGACACTTCCTCTCTCACATCCTCCCGCCGCTCCAGATGCACGCTGCAATTCCCCGCAGAGATGCTCCCAGTAGGAGACCAGAGGAATAACGCAGGGACAGCGGGGTCCCCCGCAGGACAGGGCGCACAAGAAGGGACTCGGTGATGGCCGAGAACAATCCCAAAAGGAGGGTGTTTAGAGCAGGGGAGAAGAGCGCCAGGGGGATGTGGGATGGGGATCACACGATACTAGAACGAAACACGGTCAGATTTGCTTTCCTCTCCCTCGTTTCACTTCCTCACCAGATGACGCTGAGCCCTTGCGCAAGGCACCCTGCTCAGGACCGACTCATCAGTTCTCAGCATCACCGCCTAAAGCTGGGACGTGCAACGAGCCCAGCAGAAAAGCAAGCTCTCACCCTCTCCCAAACGCCCAGTCTCTCCTCCAGCGCCACCAGAGAGACAAGCCAAAGGGCTCCCACCACCGCTCCGAACCAGAGCCGCGAAGAGCCGGGGCAGCTACTCACAGGCTCTGGGCTGGGTCATGGCCCTGCAGCGTGGCACCAGCTAGATCCTCCCGGTCGCTCGGCCTCCCCCTTTCGTTTCCTCCTCTCGCTTTGCTCCCCGCCTCCCCAGCCCTGCCCGGGAACCCCACCCTCTCTTTCTCCATCCATCCTCAGAGCAGCTCCCAACAACCCAAGCGCCTCTTGCCAGATGCCAGGGCCACGGGTATGTCCTGAAAGCAGCCCCGGAGGTCACCTCCAAGACAAAGATGGTGACAGAGTAGCTCCCGAGTCAACTTCTTACAGCAGCGTCCCTGCCTTTGCTAAAAGGAGCTTTTGGTGTTACTACTGTTGCAGAGGAGGGAAAGGACACTAACAGGAGGTTACGCTACTACCAAACTACTGCACGTGTTGAATACATAAGATTTCTTCCCTTAAACAGGTGGCAGCATCTGATCCAAGAGGGTCAACCAGAAAGAAAAAAAGAAGTTAGTATACACAGTATACTAGAAAACCTGTTTTCTAGAACATGCCAGAAGAGGCATTTTAGGTATGTTTCTCATTGCCTCTCCCAAGGGGCAGCTTACATTTGATGGATTTATTTTTAACGGCAGACAGAATGAAGGAACCAGTATTCTTGTTCACGTAACTTCAGGGGAAAGCACGTGCAGAAGGCACAGTTTTCAGCTTCATTGCTCCTCCAGGCAATGGGAGGTGCAGAGGTAACTGGAATTTAACAGTCCTTACAGTACATGCACGCCTAATATATCTTCAACAGGCTGTTATCTTTACTGCTAATTAAGGCTAACACCAACCAAGAACTTAAAGCAGTGAATCAGTCTGAGGAACAAAACAGATTGACATTGTCTTCCTGGTCAACAGTGTAGTCAAGCTTTGTACCAAGTATTTGGTCAAGCTTTGCTTTTTCACACCACTTACCCTTTTTCACTCCTGCAGGCAGGTTATTCCAGAATTGTTCCTCTGATACATCTGAAGGTGTCCCATTTCCAGCCTAAGTGTATTCACAACTAGATCACGTTCTCTCGTTCTTGTGCCAACAGCACCATAGAAGTTTCTGAACTTTATTTTGTCAAGAAATCTATCAGCAGTGTTTTTATTTACAACCCCACACCCATCTGCTAGGTATATATTCTAGCTACAAGTTCAGCTTTAAAACTAAAGCTTCTTTTCCAGCTATTCTTTTGCAGTCTTAGTGAGCCTTTTTTCCAAAATCTTCAAAGAAAGCAGAAAGTTATCAATCCCTTACACTCCATTCAGGCTGCACTTTCATACAGGAAGCAAACAGAGCCAAGGAAGATCAACTCCAAAATGCTCAGGGCTCATCCATAAACACTTGTGTCAAACACTTTGCCAGTCCAGACAGTACTGGTATATGGGCTTGTTTTGTTTAAATTAAAAAAAAAAAAAAAGGGGGCCCAAACCAGCTACTTGAAACCACTGCCAAAATTACAGTAGGCAGACAAAAACAATTAATCAAACAATCAAAGTTCACTGAAAAGTTCAAAATGCCAGCAAGGGATCAAAGGTCTTGCTATTTGTGAGTTTTCCTACGCTCACAAGGAAAACAAGAAAGAGCTGCAGATATTTGCTTTATAAAACTCAGCCCAGAGAGCCTAACTGTTCTCTCTTTGAGGACAAGCAGCACGACTATCCTCGAGGAGGGCAGTTTCCAAGTGCACTCTAAGAGGATAGGAAAGCCCTCACGTAAGACATTGCTGCCATCTGGTCCAACAGGCCACGTACATTCAGTTCCCGCTGAAGGGAAAGCCAGTTTCTAACTTGTAACTTGCTGGTTTTCTCTTCAGCTTCCCTGTTAAATGTCTCCTCCCTAACACGGTTAGATGAGGAATGATGCCTTTTGTCAGGTTCAAGGGTGCTGAATGTATTTGTAAGTGACTGTATTTCAGATGATCACTTAAAAGATCGGTTGCTCTGCAGTACATGGGGACAAGGAGTGCTTTTAAAGAAAGCAAGATGAAGTCAGTACGTGTGCTTGACTCCTTTGCTTCTCGATGGGAAAACCAGTCCTCCTACAGAGGAGGTGGAACAATTACTTATCCAACTCCAATTCTCTTCTAGAAACACAGTATTCCTTACGCAAGAGCCAAGTGTGCAGGTTTACACAGAACAGCCAGGGCAAGAGGCAGCTGTAGGACAAACAAATGACACCTGCTATAGGACTAAAACCATTCAAAATAACTTTATAAATTCTGTCACATTTCTGCTTTGTACATCAGTTCAACCTTATCCCTCCAGCTTGTTACTGAAAATTCACAATGCTTGCTTTTTGTTTCGTTTTTTCCTAAAAGGCAGACACAAAACCAGCCATCAGTGCATTATTTACAGAAGTGCAACACAGTCTCCCACCCCGAAATTAAACTTTTCACTAACAAGATACTTCCAACAGAACGTAAATAAACACCATGGCTTGAGCAGTGTTTCTGAACTCAGTTTATAAAGGTTAGCTCATTTCTGCAATCCCCAAATGACAGAGCGAGTAAAACTTCGCTCACCATCAAACGGGCTAAAAATACAACATTTCAAGTATTAAATCAGAAGTTTCTAAAGACAATCCATATTTCGATAAATAAACACAAGGGAAACAGTATAGAGCTCTCAATATACTGTATATGAAAAGTGGTGTCCAGTTTCAAACTTTTAGCAAGACAGGTGCACAGCCCAAAAATGTGATCAAAGTAACCCTGAAAACTGTAGCAATCCGGGAGTCCCAAACATTAATCTCTTCTGTGTTTCCCCTCGAATTACTCTGCTGGTCTGAGGCATGTGATTGTTATTTAGTTCTACAGTAGGTAATTCAAAAAAACTCAAGTTCATTCCCATATGGAAACAATTCAAAAGAAGGTTCCGCAGATAAGTCCTATTATAATCTTGCTTTTCTGCACTTTATTTTCAATGAGATGCAACTGCAGATCTATTATTCCCTCTGGCATGGGGTTCGCAGCCAGAGTAAGTTCAGTCCAAGTCATGCTGGCTGCGGCTTGCTCTCAGTTTTCCACTTCACGTGGATCTTCACCATCAGATTTCTTATGTTTCCTCATATGTTTGTATTTTTCCACATATGCCTTCACCAGATTAGCTACCTTCATAGGGTTGATCTCTCCACTTTTGCTGTGGCAGATCTACAAGGGATTAGAAAAGGCATTTGGTCAATTAACAGTATTACAGCAGGTCAGGCAGGCAACAGACAAATGATAAAGCAGCCCTAAGCTTCCCAGGGGCACTGATTCCTGCATAGGCCCTCAAGTCTCATAGCAGGAAACACAGAGCGGAAAACTCAACAAGGATGAGAGTAATATTTTACTTCAAGCATTCCAGAAATGACCTAGGGCTTATCTACTGAGCACCAGCTGAATGCAGAAGCATCTCTGAAAGCAGAATTGTTCATTTTTACTACAGGCTTTTCTGTCCAGCCAGTTTTACACAATGTGTGGCCACCAAGGAAGTGTTGCTTTACTATTTTTCTGATGATTTTGAGGAAGCGATGCTCAGATTAAAAGAATCTGGCAGTTTTGAGAGCCCATTTTGAGATATGGGAGAAAGAGAACAGACCCTACAAAGAACTTTATCAGTGTTCAGAGAAGAGTCCACAGTGACTTCAGCAGCAATTGGTGTTGCTCAGCTCTGCTACAAACCACCCTTGAGGTTCATATGGGTCACGTAGAAGATGTGAAATTGCAGCCATTATCTCAGGAATTTTGATTTATGATGGAATTTCTCAGTGATAGCAAGAATGCAGAGCAGGGAGAGAATACAGTTCTCCAGGGTATCATTTAACTGCCTTGACCACAAGAGCATTACTTGCTCTCACAAGACAACATTTACCTGCTGATCAGGTCTTTTTTAGGCACGATCTCGTCAGCACTAAGATCTGAGACAAAAGTCAACATCAGCCAAATTGCAAGGCCCTCTTCCAAAGTTCAGGGACACCACAGATGATCAAGGAATTAGCGCACAGAGTATTTTCTCACTTTATCAGAAACAGCTTGACGATTCTGGCCAAAGTTCTTAATGAGAGAGATTTGACCATTCTCACCCAAGGCACATACCATGTAACATTTCAGCTCAGGCAGCTTAAGCATAGCAATGTTCCGGACCACTGAAAACACGATCTTCTAAAAGGAACAGTCTGACAGCTCTCACCACTCAGTCCTGCTTAAATCAACTATTGCTTCACCACAAGATTGCAGAGTATGAGTCAGAGTCCAAGGATCTGCCACTCAGTTACAGCATGTAATTGCTGAAGCTGGCAAGTGCAATCCAAAGTACTGCCACTTATTTAACGATCTGCACAGCTCCTCTTCACTTCATTTCTCTGTTGCCTTACCTTTTGCACTGCTTTTCGAAGAATGTTCTTGTACTCCTCCTTTGTAATCTCCCTCTTCTGGTAAAAAGGTTTAATAGCAAGTTTCACTTCTTCCACAGCCCTTTCCTGCATGTGAAGCTTCTTCATGTACTGCACAGCAAAGAGAAGTTCATTACCTTGTGCTATCTTGGGAATGGTTTCTGAACCTATTTTTCTTAGAAATGCTCTAACAATGAAAATACCCATTTCACAGTTTCAACGGCCCACGTAAGAGCTAGCCTCAAAGTGATCTCCTTTACTGTAAATTGCAGTCCTGAAACAAATAAGTTTGTGCTATGAGGAACCCTTGTTTTGTGTAACATTTATTCTGCGTCTTAGAGAATGTGCTTGAAGCAAGTAACTACAATGTCCACTTATTAATTTTGGTCTCCTCCTTCCCTTCCAACAGCTCTGAAGTAAACATACATCCATCAAAAGGCATCAGATTCTAAAAGCAGCAAGTCATAGCTGCGAATATAAAGCTTCAGGTAGCTCTAAAGGCATTCTGAAAATTGCAGAGTTGCCTATAAATTAAGGATTACAGATGACATCAGGACATATTCTATCAAAACAAGTTCATGAAAACTGCTGCTCATAAATGGAGGTTCGGTGGGAAAATATCTTACTGTTTTGTTTTGTGGCAGAAAGTAAAATAATTGGCTAAGAAGTTTTTGTTCTTGTGTTAACATCCACTATGCTTAGAGCAGATGGTCTGTACAGCAAACCCAAAACTCAGCAGCAAGGGACTAGCACTGCAAAATCTCCAAAGTATTTTACTATCTCTGCATTTTCAGTGCCGATAAGCAGCAAGATACAGTCCCGCCTCTCTATAGGACTGTTATGAGAATTGACAATTAATTTCAAAGCTGGAGGGGAAAGGAGAAAACCAGGTGTTTAGAGAAATTTGGACACTCTGGCTTCTGGAAAGTCCCTTCCAAATATTCATGCAAGAAAGTTTCAGAACTTTAAGAATGTATTTTGGATGCTTTAATCCCTCTCTGTCTTATTGTGAGAAAGCAGTAGAAAGTAGAACCATCAAATGGAGTAAATCCCAAAAGAATTCAAAGAAAGGATTGCGTGCTGCTCCTGGGTTAGCATAGTCAGTCACCAAAAACAACAGTGACAACAGGGGCTGGGAAAATACAGTGCAGAGAAAGTTAAAAACCCCCAAACTTAAAAAGTTCAAATAAACAGCTCAGTAATGTTACGCATTTGCTACTTGATAGCATTCACTCACTTCCTCGTTTTTTGTTTTATCCACTGGAGGTTTGGGTGCTTTGATCTTTTCCTCTGCGTTTCCAACAGAAGCAGCTTGGATTCCTGGTTCAGATGCAGTAGCCAGGCTGCCCGGCTCCGGAGTCAGGCTCTGTCCTGCCATGCAGCCAAGCGCTGGAAGGCTACCCTGCATGATAAACTGAACCGTGGGCTGGCTGACAGGGGCATAGGGGGGAAGGCTTGAGGGCAGAGGTGGCGTCAAAGGTATATTTTGACAGTACACCTGTGAAACAGATACCATTTTGTAAATGCTTGCACTTACAAGAGAGAGCATCAGATCAGCATTTTTCAGAGCACCTTTTATCCATTCAAACAGATAAGTAATTACTAGTTTAAATCAGGGAGGCTAACATCCCAGCCCTCAACTAGGTCTCTGTGCACCAGGAGCTAGCACCAGCCCCACTCACCTTTTAACTAACTGGTGGACAGCACAGACTGACGGCACGGACCAATGCCACCAGGCCAATTTTTACAGCCTGATCACAACCAGGGAGAAGCTCACAGCTTCTCAAACAGCACCACCTTTCCACAAATTACTGCTGAAAATAGAAGCCGCACATATAGAGCAGAATTAAAAGAAAACGTGCTTCTTCAGCTGTAAGGACCACCTGAGAGATTAAATGATAAGAGGATTGCTGAGGTGTATGGGCTATATGAAATGTACCACACGCAGAGGAAGGCAAACTCTGCGATGAGAGGAGGGTGTTGCACAACGAGGGCACAGATGAGGTGGGATGCCTTCCATGACACTTGAGTGCTGGAATAGGAACCAACCTGAGAGGAATCTAGATCAGGAAACATAGGCTCAGGAATCATATAATTGGTTGGAGGAGGCTCATTTAACTGCACCTGATTTAACGTTTGGTTCAAGTCCTCTGCTTTCCAGGCCCCTTCTTTTGCTCGCTGAAGTTTGTAAAATGGCATCCCTAGGTTCCCCAAGAGAAGGAAAAGAAAACATTTAAGAAAAAAATAAACCTAAAGGGTCAAAGATTCAAAGCCAATTATATTTAAAAAAATTAAAATAAAAAAGGGTCTCACAATAAAGCTAGCTATAAAAGGATTTTGTTTAGCAGTCATCAACATTTTAAAGCTTCTGATAATAGAGGACTTATCCCCTTGAGCAACTGCGTTTTACTGGGTTTCCATGAGAGTAACCAACGAGAACCACACAAGCAACTCTGTCAACACACATAGCACAGGGTCCCAAGCCAAACTGTTTCGAGCAGCTTTGGCTTAGCAGAGCTCACAGGAGCGAGCTACAGAGATTTGTCACGCTCCTCGGTTCTGAGAAATATTTATAAATTCTGAAGGCAAAACAACCGTTCTAGTTAACTGCAGAAAGGGTGGAACACGGGCTGCCAGTTCAGAGGTTGGGTTGCAATACACGCTTCACGGCCGAACAAGTTGCCGCTGGCTAGCTGAGCTGTGCTGACAGCATGTCCGCTCTGATCCATTAACACAGCTCACCTCACGATTTCAACAAGTGCAAAATGCCAGCTTTCAGGATTGGAAACACAGGATCACCCCACCTCAGATGACAGAGCTCTTGCACTACAACCAGGTTCAGCCAGGCATCAAAACCCTAAGCCTTATACCGCCTGCTTCAACTGCTGTTTGTTTTCCAAAAGAGAGACTTACTTGGAACTTTTCCAGCAGACAATGTGCCGCTTTCTTCCTCTTGAAGATTCCAGGTAACTCTTTTCACTGGTGCTTTTGATTTCAATGCAGGACCCTGAGGTACCACCTCCAGTTCAGGATTACTGAAATTACTGGTTTTCTCATTTGACACAAGGCACTCATCTTTAACCTCCTTCACACAATCTGTTATTTTGCTTTTGGACGAGCTTTGAATTGGTGCACCCTCAATCGGAGCGTGCAAGATAACTTCCTTCTTTGGGGGCGGTTCCATCAGAGATGGACATAATGCAGTATTTTCTATTTTAACTGTAATCTCAAGGTTTGTATTGCTACAGCTACCAAGCACTGCTGGATCACTACTACTCATTAATTCTGTTCCAGCAAAAGAATCCACATTGCCAATTGGAACGCAAATGTTTGTGATCTCTGGCACAGGGAATGCAGTTTCACTGGTCACTTCCTGACAGATGGGCTCTACCTTTATATTTTCTTGGGCCTCTCTCAGTTGAACCGGGGTTTCAGCCTGTACTTCCTCAAGTTTTACATTTGGTTGGATGGTTATGGAAAGCTCTTCTAGTACTAGTTCCTCCTTTGGCTCTTGTTTGAAGGAATGGGGTTGCTCCAGACACCTGGACACATTTTCAACTGGAGGCTTTTGATCCTTTTCTGGTGGAGGAGGAAGTGAGGTCTCTTTTGATCTGTGTTTTCTTTCTTTGGAACGTGATCTCGATCGTGGTCTTTTTTCCTTTGATTTGCTGCTTTTGTGCTCCCGAGATCGAGATGCAGACCGAGACCGAGACCTCCACTTTCTCTTCTCCCGAGACCTGGATCTCGATCTCTTTCTGTCCCTTGACCTCAAGCTACTATCTTTATCATACCTCTCATAGCTTTTGTCTCTCCTGTGTTTCCGCCTTTTAGTCCTCTCAATGCTATTCGATCGGGAACGTTCCCTCCGTCTTGATCTTGATCGAGACCGTCTTTTCTTTTTCCTATTTTCATAAAACTCAGAAGTACTTCCAGGACTACCTGAACGTGACCTAGATTTCCGTCTCTCCCTAGACCAAGAAGTTTTTGCCTTTTTATCCTTGGTTTTATCCTTCGTTTTCTTTTTTTTAGATCGTTCGTGACTGCTAGAACGGTCAGTAGAAGACCTCCTGCTCTTGGGTTTCAACGTGTGTGTTTTGCTATGCTCTTCTCCACCTGACCAAGAGGTAGATCTGGAGCTTCGGTCCCTTGAGTGTGCTCTATCCCTAGACCCCGATCGGGATCTCTTACGCTCTTTGACAAGTGCCTTCTTCCTTTTCATCTTCTTCTTGCTTCGGGAGCTGGAGTTCGAACAGGATCTGGAACGCGATCGCCTCTCTGTTTGTTCTACCTTTTGGACCTTCTGCTGCCCGTCATTCTTTGAGGGACTATCTGGTTCTAGTTTCACATTAATATTAGATCCAATCAATTCTTCAGCATTAAAGAACACATTAGGGCCCTCTCTGCTTTCCTTCTTTAAACACTCTGCATTAGAAATTTGCTTAACAGCAGATGAAGTGCAAGGACTGCTTAGAATGTCTTCCTCATCCATATTGTCTCGTTCCTCTGCATCAGAGATCTGTTCTACAATCCTGCTTTCTACCGTCACGTCATCATGAGACTCTGTGTTACTAGATGGTACGTCAGAGTCAGCCCCAGATCCAAATATATTTTCTACCATGTAAGGGGTGAAACGACGGACAGTTTGAAACGTTTGAACTTTCGGATTTTCAATGGAAATAGTCCTGGTAATATTAGTTAGCGGGATCCCTGAGCCAAGCCTTTCAGGACTGCTGCTTGCTGAACTCGAGTCCGATCCTGTTGGCTCAAAGGGATCATATATTTCACTTTTGACCTGCTTTTTCTTAAGTGAGAAAAGAGATGAAGGACTCTCTTTCTGTTGCACTTTGTCGTCCACAGGGCGGAAGGTGTTACAAAATCCTGGGTTAGACAGTCTGCTGGGATGCCCTGCATTTCCAGGAATATTGATTTTAAAACTCTCGAAAGAGCTTGGGCCTTTGCTCCTTGAAGTGCCCAGTAGCGATGAACTGCTACAGACGCCTGTATTGGTAGAAAAAGACACCCCGCTTGTACGTGTTTGTTGCTGAGATTCCTTGGCATTTGACCTCTGACTTTCCACCTTGCTACCCTTTCCCGGCTGATTAGTGCTCTCTTTGCCAGTCAGCTGGGTTATACAGGACCTGGGGATGTCACAGCTTTGGCTTCCCGTGGGTTCTGGCTCCACCTGCTTGCTGCTGGTTTCCTTTTTAATCTTTGGTATCCTGGGAAGCTCAAAGATGTCAATTCTCTTGGGAGGTGGTTTTAATGGCTGCCTCACAGTTACAGCTTTTGAGCCAGAATTCAAGTTACAGCTCAGGGGCTTTGAAGATGAGTCAGAGGGTGCAAAGTTTTTAGAGTTTCCATTAAATCTGGGCATTTCATCTAACTTGGCGCCATGCCTGCTCGGAGTAGCTATATTCTGAGTCTGAACAGACCTGGGTGTCATTGAATATTCTGATTTTACAGTTGCCTTTTCTGATGTAATCTGTGCAGGGTTTGCTGCAGGCTCAATCCTGCTCAGTGAAGGTGAAGGCGATGAAAACAAGCTTGAGGAGGAGGGTCTGGTGCAAGTACTCAGCCCCAAGGAAACTGAAGGTCCAGCAATGGAGCTGCTTGCTGTGGTACCTGAGTGCACTGTACTCTGTTGGGTGTTATGTCCTGAACCATCATCCACTCTCGAGTCATTCGCTGATTTTCTATGAAGTGGAGCTATGGCATACAAGCAAACAATTAAGCTTTTCAGTACGTATCTGGACATTTCCCCCCAACATTAAAAGAAGTACTGAGCTAATTATTTTAAGCTCCACTTTGGTTTGAGACATACCACACAGTAATAAGGCAGTCCAATAGTTCTTTTGGTCAGACGGTCAAGGTTTAATGCTAGACAACTGCATCTTTGAGGTAAACACTAATGTTTAGGAAATAAATTATTCTGTTCTGTAGATATCACGATTCGTGTTTATTACCCTGTAGTCTCTGACTGATAAAAATTACTATAAAGGAGGATGTTATAGATACTTATTTTAAGAATAAAGCTCTAAGTTTCAATTCGAAGAGATTCTTTCCAAATAATACCATGCCAAAGGAAGACACAGCTGAAGATGCTAGCATGTATTCTAGAGCTTTACTTTTGCAAAGAAACTTCTTGCCAAGGTCCTCATCACTGCTCTTCAAACCGAAGTACAGTTCACAGGCATGGCAGCAAGGCATGACAAATGCCAGAAGAACTGGGTACTAAGATGTCTCTGCTCTATCCACTCCTCCATTTTTTTGTAACAAAGCATGAAACTACAGCGCAGTACTTTTGAAAGAAGAAAACTACCTATTAAAACCAAAATCCTCCACTAACATCGCAGCTGTGCAATTAAAACAGAGACAAGTAATACTATTTCAGAGCATACGTAAGAATCTTATTGGACGGATTACTGCTGGCAGCTATTGAATCTACCCTACATATTCAAATGCTGAGTAAGACTATCCCTATGTTTGAAGCTATGCAGCCTGCAGGACCAGGGCAGATGTGGATGAAAACAAAGAGGCTAATTGCACTATAAACTGCCAAACTCTTACCTGCCTTCTTCGCCGTCAGCGAACCATCTCTGTTGATGACCACATCCGAACTACTCATCATGAGAAAGCTCTGTCCAGACAGGATACTTCCCAACAGATCAGGCACAGGGGCAGCTTCTGCTTCTTGATCAGGACTCAAGGCAGGTACACTGCTTCTGCATGTTTCAGAGGGGTTATATTTCCTTTACTCTTACAGCACTTGTTCTATACACACACATTACATTAAAAAGAAACCAAAATCAAGGGCATAAACAGAGGTCAGCCAGGGAAGTTCACTTGTAGTTTTGGCTTCATAGAGTCATTCAGTCCCCATCCCTCTTTGACAAACAGAAGGTGAAGCTTTTACTGACCTCCCACAGGAACACCACAGCATAGGAAAGCATGTAATCATACCAGAGACCTTTGGTAAGCAAATGCTTTTAATCTTATTTAAGAGTGGTGCTCACTGTGTTGTGTATCAAGATTAACTTTCCAGTGCATTTAAGATGCATTTTTGAAGCGTAAACCATTGTTCAGCACTTCAGAGAGATTTCCATCCCAGCTGCCTCTCTTCCCCCCACCAAATCATGATCACAAATGTATTCCGCAGGCCTGCACTGCTATCTAAAAAAATTGATGCAGCTTGAACCAGTGTTTAACACCAGTCAGAATACAGATAGGTGCCTACTGGTAGGGTAGCTAAAAGCATGGCATAGGAGGAATTACACTGAAAAATAACCGCAAAGCTCCCACACATGGGACAACACAAACACTCCCCTTTATGCATTACTCAATCTTATGAAAATGGTTTAACTGTAAGTTCTCTGTTCTTGAAATATGGACTGCAAAGGTTTGAGTGTTTTTGGTGTTAGGGTGTGGCTTTTTTCTTTTTTCTTTCTTTGCTTTTGTGTTGGTTTTTGGGATTTTGGGGTTTGGTTTTTTGTGTTGTTTTTTTTTTTTTAAATAAAACTTCTGAAGGGACCAATAGACCCAGCTCTTTGAGGGAGCTACATTTCATTTCTGTGTGACAACAAAGCAAGCTTTCCAAACATAATGTACACTAAAAACCTGTAATAACATACAACAGAAAGACAAAATGGGAAGGCTAAAAAAATCTGGCCACCCAGGCCAGACCAGGAAACTCACTGTAGTCCAGGCAAATCAAGCCTTTAGGAAGGCTGAATTTCAGCTAAATGGTTGTACCTTCTAAACAATGTGCTACTCAAATAACTCGGAGGACATGGAAAGCTTCCTGAAAGGCTTCCTTCAGGATCGAGATGGGAAAGGTAGAGAAATATTCCAAGTTATCATAGAAATATACTATCTTAATCCTGAGAAACCAACCTTCGCCATAGGTCAGATGCATTAGAAGACAGCCAGTAAACCTCTCACACCTTTAATCGTTTAAGTTGAGCTCCCTCCATTTCTCCTAATCATCAGCTCCCTCAGCCTTGCAGTTTTCTGTGACTCGGTTGGTACCTGCCTCAGCTATTCTCCCCATCCCTTTTCTTCTCATCATGCTCCTGCTCCCCGTGTCCTACCACTCTGCACTGCATCCTACACCTTAGTCCTGAAAACCCACCGTGGCTGCCAGTGGGAGGCACCCTGGCTGGCACAGGGGCACACAACTTGCACACACAGACATCTGTCAGACAGCAAAGCAACTGTTAAATTGCAGGGTCAAACAAAAGAGTTTTCCGTCAATTTTCTGAGTGCCAACAAATGGCAAAGGAATTGGGTGAGGTGGGTACATCCCTCATCTCCTCCTCTGGTTGTGCAATTACATTCCCTGGCCCTCTCAAATAAGTGAGTGTTTTTTCAAAGGTTAATGAGACTGGGATTTAAAACATACTAATGGGGTTACTAAACAATCCCAAAACAGAAAGCAAGAAGAGCCAGATTAGGGTGGAAATACCAATTTGAAATTTCAGTGCAATAGTTAGAGCTATTATGAAAGAATAAGTGTGTGTTCTTCAACATAAAAAAAGAATTCTTGCATAAAATGCTGTGGTTATTTATCTACACATGTACAGGCACGCGCACACGCTCTTTCAAAATACCCAGGGTAAGAAAAGAGTTAAACCAGGATGATCACTTAGTTTGCTCTTTTGTTAGGGCCATCAGACAATTAGACAAGAAAAATAAAGTAAAATAACTTGATGGATTTTTACCTGGGAAGTCCCACAGAAATAGGTCTAGCTACAGGACGGTGAGACCTCAGTGCTGACTGGGAGAGAACTCTCCTTTTGGCACTCACTGGTGAATCTGGATTTGCTGGAACCTCTTCGTTACTGTGGGTAAAACACACACACACAAACCCTGAAATTGTCTGAATGTTCTTTATGTCAAATAGATGAAGTAGATAATACTACTAGGACAGATATGGTTAGAGAGCATCATTTGTTTTATTACGATACATTAAAAAAAAATTGTGCAATATACTTATTTTCTGTGGCTACATAAATAGAACAGCGCAACTCAGCCAGCAGAGATTCAAACGTAGATTTTTTAAGTATTAAATGGGTAATTTCCTTTTATGAAAGGATCAAAAAGACTTATTCAGTGGACAATTAAATTTCACCAACAACAATTTCAGATGCCCTCTCCCCAAAATTCAAAGCTTAAGAGTGACACAAACCATGGCATAGTAAGATTCCCCTGAATTTGAAGTGTCTGGAAAAGTGAAGATGGGAAAAGGAGAAACATGGAAGATCCCACAGGTCCATTTAATTCTATGTGAAGTCACTGTTTATTGTGTACCAAATATGCTAGCTATCTTCACTTAAAATAAATAAATAGAAAATGACCGATTAAGATCCGACTCCTTCAGATTCTAGCCTTTGAATAACCCCATAAATCTTATTAAAGGTTTTCACAAGGCTTATTATTTCAGCAAACCTCTTTAAAGAAGGCTGATTCTTTAAGAGCTCAGCAACTCGGCCAAGAAGGAAAGAAAGAACAGGCCAATGTGTTATTATGAGCTGTGCATCCAAAGCTATCTTCAGATGCGAGATCTACACTCCGCAAAAAGTCACATATACAAACAACCCGACACTTGTAAAGTTATCAGGTCCCTGATCACAACCCAGAGGTATCTTACCTTTCATAAGGATCCAGCTCATATGGATCTCCAAACACAGACAGAGAAGCTGCACCGATATCTGATCTCATCAGACCAAGTGATGGCTCCGGTGGTTTGTACATGGAAGGAAGCGAGGCCCCACGCACAGGTTTACTAAGACCGAGAGTTCTTGCAATACGGGAGCGACTAGTAACCTCATTTTTCACCTGCACAGGTAAAGAGATTGGGTTATTTCTATGTTAGGGCAGAAACCTACCCTGGGTTTAAAGCCCCAAATTCTTCACTTAGGCTAAATACAGTCATCAGGATACTACGGTTGGTAGCAGAAGTGGTGTGCATTTATTGTCTATATTTGTTTTAAAGCATTTATTAAACTTCTAACTATGGCCTATATATCACTTCATACAGAGACTACACGTATCAGATTTAAGTGACCAGGTAAGTTAAGTTTCTAAAAAATCTTTAATAACGTAATTCAAAATTGTCAATTCCTCATTAAAGGCTGGAAGGACAGTTCTAGCTGTAGGATGTAAACTCTAGTTAAGGTAGCTGAGGACAAAAGTCAAGCTGGTGCAGGGTATTCAGGATAGTTCACATGAGAACACTATCCACAACTGAAAGGGATTCTGAGAACACTTATGGCTGATTAACTGGGTTTGCAACAACACAGACACAAACATCCGTAGCCTATTAAAAAGAATAGGTGGTGGCAATTTTAACTGAGCTTGCATCAATACCAAGTAAACACTACCGCTGAATGGCAAGGCGTAACACAAAGCCTGCAGGACATGCTTTACAGTGTGATCTCTGCAGTTCAGGTAACAGGATTTGTCAGCAAACCCAGCAGGCCTGCATGGAAGTTGCAATTCGTTTCCACGTACAGCATCTTTCTGGAGTACACTGGACAAATCCTGCACATACTCCCACCAGAAAAAGTTATCTGCTATCATTATAAGGCAGTATTTTTTCCACTGAATCCCATGTTATAGTGCTTTTACAGATAGCTGAAAAATGGCAGATACTGACACTGGCAGAAACTCACATGTGATCTTACTCTCATCTTTTTCCCCCTTCTCTTCTTTCTCAGATGCTTGCGTCTCTTCTGCTGTGTCCCTGAATTCTTCTTCCCAGCAGAAGATTTTGTCTGAGTTCTTTTTTTGCCTCCTACTTTCCTCCTCCTACCTGATGGGACAAAAGACAACCAAGTATCTGGCTAAGTGCTGGCACTGCATTTTGCTTTGTCCTCCCTTTTTCATTCCCCCATGGCACACAAAGTAGCCCAAAGAGACCTACAGTGTGCTGCAATGGTATAAAACAGCAGAGCAGAAAAAGTGAAATCATTAGGATTTATTTAAAAGCAACCTTCAAGACACTTCTGGGCAGAGGCGGTACAGGGAAAGAAGAAAATGCATGTGGTATGCTTCTGTAGCTGCACAGGTGTGGCAGCATACAGCTGATCTAGAGCATTTTGTATGATTCAGGCTCATCTTCCCAAAGCTGTTACTCTTGCAGATGGGAACCACAGAAGGTGTCCGACGCCCTTACCTGTTTTTCTTTTCTGCCTAGTAGGAGCCCGCGGTGCAAGAGGACGCTGGTAGATGGCTGTGTTTAGGCCTGCTACAACTGCCTCAATGGTTTCATCCAGAAGAGAGGACATGAGGTACCTTGGCACGTGCTGCATAGGGGATCAGAAGTTACGTGATACAGAAATCTAAAGGTCAGCAACAAGTTATTTGTAAAAGCATTTGAGGAAAAATGGGTTTGAGATTCGAATGAGAAGCACTCGTGTGACCAAGCTGCCAGTTAAGCAATTATGTCACCTTTTTCACCTAGTCTGTCATATTAAGGAGAACACGACCTTGCCCTTCAGCCTCCCTCAGTATTACAACTCACAGCTAGCCTAACTCTGACTCTTTCAATGAGAACAGTCCCCGAGATGGACATTTCCTCAATGAAAAAGTTCACTTAAGAACTTTCCCAAATCCACCTAACTGACCTCTGGCTCATCACACAGCAAAGTGTGATGAGCAAAGACTGAAAAGCCAACACAGTACAGGTTCCCTGTCTTAAACTCCTCATTCTTTAGGTCAGATTTACCTAATGCTGTGAAACATGTCCAGAGGCAAACACACACCCCAGGGAACTCACTGAAATGGCAGGAGTCCCCCTCCAGAGCACCACTTCATTGCGATAAGCAGGGGCTGCTCCTACAAGCTTCAAATTCTTCTTCCTCTCTATACTCAAGGGTCAACCACATTTAAACAAACACATTTGAAGCGAATGGATTCTGAACCACCAGCCTCAGAATATGAACTGAAAGCGTCCTTGCTGGGCAAACATAGCACAGGTTTGCCAAAGCCTCCTTGCTGGGCAAACATAGCACAGGTTTGTTCCTTCCTTCAGTTGGAAAGACGTTAAGAGCAGGTTTCCCTCAACAGCTATGTTAAGTTGGCCATGCCCACACCATGCATATTCCTGAAATGTCACAGAATCATAGAATGGTTTGGGTTGGAAGGGACCTTTAAAGATCATCTAGTCCAACCCCTCTGCCATGGGCAGGGACATCTTCTCTAACACCTCCCCCCATTTCCTCAAGCAACAACAATGCATCAAGAATTGATAAAGTTTTATGTAAGCATAGCAGATGCACAGATGCCTCTAATGTTAAAGATTATTCACTGCGATTACTTTCTACCAGAGCATATGCATCAGATCCTTGTACATTTACGAAAGGTACATGTGGCACAAACACTAGAGGAGAACGGCTTTAGAGTATCCTGCAGCGGCAAAGAAGCTTCAAACTGCAAAATGTTTGAAAATAGAATACGCCACAGAAATATATGCTTCAATTCATCTTCCTATGGAAGTAATTTCACCACACTTCTCTGTTAGTGTCACTACGCATGCTCCAAACTATTTTATTGAGCTATTTTTATTAGAACGCCATTGTCTTAAGTATCGTGGGTGCCATAAATACTACATAAGGTTCTCTGATTTGGGGGAGAACAGAACACAGTAAGGAAAGCCCTGAACATTAGCCTAAACATATTTATTTTTCTAGAAGGACCTAAAATAGTGGCAGCCAAATAAGATGACCTCTACCATGGAGGACATAATGAATTTAAGGACTGCTAAAGCACTCTGGGAAGTCCTTAAATCAAGGGAAAAAAACATGATAAAAACTTAAGGCGAGCTAGATCTTTGTTCGTGGCACCTATTTCAAACTGTGCTTACTGCTGTAATTCAGACCATTTGGGATTTGCTACAAATTTCTTTCCTCCCATTTACAATGATTTTGATGAGAAATTTAACAGGTAAACTCTGGGGAGCTAATTAACAGTAGACTGTTCTTCCCAACCAGCAGGAAGGTAAGATAATGAAAAACCTCCACTTTTTCCCCCAGATTTTGGCATTTTGTTTTACTTCCCCTTAAGCCTGTCTTTATTTACCTTTATTTCTTCTTCCTGAAGTTACAGAATATAGAAGCGTAGCTCATGGCAGTTGAGGGACTTCACAATCTTAAGTGCATTTCTCTTTTCTTTCTCACCTGACCTTTATGACTGGATTACAAGGGAAAGCTTAATCTGCCAGACCTCCTACCTCCAACTCAGTCTTTTCCCAGTCTGCACTTCACACTCCAAGGAGAGCCTTTATAGCAGACCCAACCTGAAATCCACAGCCAACTGACCGACTTGAAGAAATACTTAGTTTTATCTATTCTTCCCTTCTCACTCTGTCCTACATTTTCCTATCTTTGGGAAAAAACTGACTTAATACAATCAAAACCAAAACGGCATGTTATTGTCAGATGAAACCAAGCTTGTTTTCATAGAATCATGGAGTAATTCAGGTTCGACAGGATCTCGGGGTGTCCCTCAGAAGGGTCTGACCTTTCTGTTCACTGGTCAACACTGAACTCAAACCAGGTTGGTTAGGCCTTTCTTCAGGCAGGTGCTGAAAGCCACCAAACATAGAGATTTCAAAAACTCTCCAAGCAACCTACTCCCATGGTTGACCATCCCCAGGGGAAAAACATTTTTCCTTATGTCAAGTCAGATCCTCCTCTTCCTTTCTAAAGTTGTAGAATTTTACACATTTCTACCATATTCAACAGCAGCATTAATGAAGAACCAATTAACATATCACTAGTCCCATGAAGGTTATTTACAGGCTCTGCTTTCGCACTAAGTCACCATATGCTCCTGTGCAATTTAAAGCTTTTTGTATTTATGCAAGTGACAGGTAGAGTGCTTTGGCTAAAGCCAGAGGGCAAAGCAGGCAGGAGATCCCCAAGTTTGAAAGTTCTCAGTTTGTAGCATACTAATTGTTACCTAAAGGATCGTAATTATCCCAGCCGACAGAAACATCTCAAGTGCAGTCATCTTCAGTAAACAGTTCAACAAGTAAAGTATTTGAGGGGCCTTGGGATACTTTCTTGCATAGATTCTCTGGTACCTGTTAATGTGGTGGAACTCACACTGCCACATCACTGAGGACACTAGCACCTGGGTTTTTTCTCTTCAATAATAGGCTGCTTTTCACAAACATAGCAACCTTAAAAAAACCTAAATTTTTCTCTTCAATTTGGCTGAAGGTAGCCAACAGGTTCTACTGCTATGGGAAAGGGGGTAGGAGGACAAACAAGCAAATACACAAGTGTCAAATAAACATGCCCTGTCTCCGCAAAAAAGCATGCTAAAAAACCCAGAAGTGGTGCAGAAACTGTGCATTAACAGCCACTGGGAATAAAAATACAATTTTGCTCACAGCTGAGGTGATAAAAATGCAGATTAAGAGAGGAAGCTACCGCATATTTCAAAATAGAGTGTCTTGGTCATGCAATGCACTCAATTTGCACACATGTTCTCAATTTAAAAGAACTCTACAACCACTAACCATTGTGCTATGGACAGTCAATACAGACAGCTGAGCTACTTAAGGGGGGGACTTATTTCAACTCTTCCACAGGGTTCTTCCAGAGGCTCATTAGCAAATACTCCTAAATACCTGAATTTGTTGCGCTGTTGTTATCCGGTTTCTGTTCACTGTTGCCCTAACTCGTTCGCTCTGCCGAGTTCTGGCTATAGCTCGGGTTCGGACGTGAGGGCGTAGCCTACTGGTGGTAGGAGTAACATCAGCCACGAGGGCAGCAATCTCTTCTTCACTGACATGATCTGTATCTTGGAAGAAAAGATGCCCAGGTCACTTGTCTTTCTACAGGTGAAAGCATTTCAAGAATTTTGGACAAAAAAAAAAAAAATCAGTATTCCCTTTCTTAAACCAATCACCTCCAAAGGCAGACATTATCCTCTGAAAAGGAAATGAGCACAGACACAACTGCTTCAAACTGTTACACAGAAAGATGATTTTCTAGGTAACAGAAATTGCCGCTACCTTGGCAATCTGAGGTCAGGATACTAATAAATTCTTTCCAATGTAATACAGTGCAGTTGCACAAAGATGCTGGGCTTGCCTCAGGAAGGTTGAAGAATGCTTATAAGAAGCAGCTCCACAGGTTGTAACTGCAGATGAAAATCTTAATAAACAAGATCCTCTTATCAGTCAAGAGTTCAAGTCAACTCTTTAGGTTCAAGAGAGAATGCCTATCAAAACAATTATTTAAAACAGGTAAAACCAGGGGTTAAACATCTCTTCAAAACAGCACATGCTTCACATCATTTAAGTCAGGAGAAAAATATTTACTTTGACTGGATACCACAAAACCCTTACCTGCAGCAGCACTGACACCCATGGGGGCACAGGCTGGACAGAACCATTCATCTACAGGGACTTCACTCAGAGGTGGATTAAGGCATTCCATGTGATACCTTGAGAAAAGAAAAAAAGAGTAAAACAAAAATCAATGTGCTCCTTAACAAGAGCCTTTTACCTCTATCCACACACTACATAAGGCGGACACGTTTTCTTAAGCTTGAAACTATGGTGTATGCAACTGCTTCTACCAACGTCCAGCGAAACGATGCAACTGATAGTTATATAAGGCTCTTCAATTCTAGATGGTATTTTGATCACTTTAGGCCCAAAAAAGCTCAGAAAAGTGAGTGTTTTTCCCTTGCTGTGTGAAGTGCTCTGTTTCACTTTCCCGTGCCAAAATTCACTGCCTGATAACATATCTCAGTGCCCGGCCACAGAGTAAGGAAAGGGAAGGAACATCCATCTGATGCTCTAATCCCATTTTATAGCAATACAAAAAAAACCACAGAGAGACTACAGCTGTTAATCTACCTTCCACCCATCACCCCAACTTCAGATTGTGTCTTTCAAACCTGTTCCCAACCACGTTGTGATAGACTCAATTTGCAGCTAAACTGTCAAAACCACCAACATTATCTTTATACTAAAATATATTAATTGTCAATACAAAATGGAATATCACGTCCTTCTTGCATGACAGAGTACACCTTAGCACATGAGATTTTACACTCTTTCAGAGACTTAAGAAGATGAAGTTGAAAAATGATGTTTGCAATAAATCATTACTTTAAAATTAGAGTAGCAAAGTATTTTCCTTCTCTGGGACAGGAGAGTTAGTTCTCCAACTGCCAGCTACCAGGAGTGAGATAATTTCCCCCAAGCAGTATTCTGACAAGTAATATTGTTAGGTTCAGGCCAAAGTTATAACAAAAGTACTTGTAGCAAGAACTTCATTACATACTTTTCAAATTATCTCTGGGAGTTTTCAAGTCACATTATGACCCACTTGACAAGCAAAGACTTTCAGCCTTAAAACTTTGGACACTGGAGAACCTATTGCAACAGCTGTCTGGAGTCCCCTGGA